TGGTTTCCAGAGCCCCATTGTGGGGAAAACAAGAATAGACCCAAAGCCTTCCTACTAGATGTCGTAAGAGTCGACTAACTGGGAGTTTCCTTTGAAGTCGGAGTGCATCTGTCTGAGAGGGGAGGAACCAGCAGTCTGCAATCCAGGTCTATTAAACGGATGTACACGCAACATTGAGATTGGAACAAGACTAAAGTCCTGAGGTGGTTGAATAACCAGAACTTTTTGCCGGAGTTCACAGCGTTGAATGCGAAGAAAAAGAAGATTAATAATTTGCCGAAATCGGATGTTTTGAACCGAAACGGGCAGAAATGGCAGCCGACCTGTAAACCGCACCACAGCGTGTCTCTGAATTCTTTCCATACTGTGCAACTCATTATACACGCATAGGTTAGTCCAAAGACAATATACTTTTCTTTCTGTTTTTTTAGGTCGGCTCTGTGGCTAAGTCGATGCGAACGCTTCGTAGTGCCGGGTTCGATCCCAGCTGCAGGCCATGCGTCTTGCGTTCGTTTCGACAGTGGTATCAGGGAGCCGACCGTCCAGAGCCAATTGCAAACTACTGGACGTAAATTTGCCTAGAGAAACCACACAACAGCCGGGGGCTGCTAGGGTTGGTTCTGCAACGTCCTGTAAAGGATACGCAACTAACCTTTACCCTCTTCTTTAGTCGCTGATAGTCAGTGGGTGAATGAATTTCAACCAACTAGGACCGTACAATAAGCGATTAACACACTGTTGTGTAAAGTGCAGTGCGTCATTACTCGGACGAGTATCGCCCGGTTCAAGTCCCCGAAATCCCCTCCAACCGTAAATGTATACTATGGTCACCCGACAGTTATGGGGTATCCTAAAGTCTGGCCGGGGTTGTCAACGCTTATAGTTGTTAGATAATTCACCAATCTAAATTGCTAGTGATACTCCTTCTGACTCATCATGTTATGTAATTGGACTAGAATATAGGCTACTTTGAACTAGAACTTCTCGGGATTAAAGAAATTAATTACAGTCCGCGTCCGAAAGAATTCAGGACCAACGGACAAGAAGCAGTTAGGCTCTGATATACTACATGATCTTCGTCGACTACTGTGTAGACACGAGTGGTAAATTACGTGATCACGGGAGAATGTGCACTACGACCGCCCAGCCCCCGGCTCTGACCTCATTCAGCCTCGTTGCCCGCAGTGGAAAATATGTGACCTCTTTCTATCTGCCAGGATACGTGTGCCGACAGCAGCCAAATTAACAGTTTAGTTATATTTATTTATATATATTAGGCAATTCATGAGGGATATTTATAAAAGTTATAGTTATAAAAAATGTAAAAAGAAAAAAAAATAAGAATTTTTCTGGCGTTATGCAGTACAGTATATTTATGTTTAGAAGCATCGGTTTATTTTTTCAGCATTTCTGTAATAGACACTTTCTGGTTAGTACCGGCACCATATTTTAGACTGATGTAAGTACGCGTACCTTTCTTTTCAGGAACAAGTCCTGAAAACAACTATTTGCGAGTAAACAACCATATACTTATGAAGCAACTCCAAGTAGATAATTAGTTCGTTCTTTTTATTATCAATAGATTTGAGATAATACATGAACAGCTTATCAAATCTACTGGGGAAAACCAGCGATGTAACATACTGATAATGTATTTTATTAGTATGTTATACAAATCCCACTGGAGGGAAAAGGTGAAGGCAGGAGGCAGGAGGCCGACAGCGATACAAGTTTATGGATATCTTCAAGAGTGAACAAACAGCAGTTTGATAGAGTGTACATTCAGGGCGAAAGACAATCATGTTCGAGATCAGTTGCAGCCAACCTTTATTGTGAAGACGGCACCTAATTGATTGAATGATTGATTCCTTATGTTTTCTTTGTTCTTTTTGAAAAGCAGTAAGTGCCGCTCTAGGATAAACTGGACATCAGATAATTAGGAATGTAGTAAAGTATTAGTAATTGAAACAATGACATCATGTTCAACAGTTACTGGTTGTTTTGGATATACTTAGCCCCCCCCCCCCCTCCCGCCGATATTATATATTTATGTTTGTTAATTAAATTGCTTAACCAGTATTAATTGAAGCGTAATGTTGGGGTAAGGACCGGTACAAAAATGTTGTCTGCAACTTGTCAATGTCCATTTGGGACATGATTTTCAAATCCCGCTGTAACCGCTATAGCTTTCAGTTTTCACCTGTAATATTTTCTTAGCTCTATTCTACTACTTCTTTTGTTATATTTGTTTAACACACTATTGAAATTCCATGATGTAGCTATCTTAGAGTCATGTTTATATTGTGTTTTATTTCCCGTCTTCGTTCTACTGACGAAGTCTAATCGCCGCAACGTCCTTTGTTTATTATAATTGATTCTGTAAAGCTGATATATACTTTATATGTTATTCCGATATTTTTAATAACTACTTCAAGAAGTGCTAATAAATAACAGCTAAATTGTTGCTATTACCAAAAACAAAAACAACATATTTGGCCCTTCGAGAGCCAACCAGGCAGACCGCAAGACCCCGTGCTATTTTCAGTGTATGATTAAGAGAATGGATCCAGGGACCCCCTGTTTACACCACGTGAAACGTCAGCCAAGCGAACTGTTGCCTAATCTGCACCACCACCGCTTATAAAAGGCACCGCACTCTCCGTGATCTCCGTCCCGACCCTGTGGAAGTCAGTCACGCACTTTTTATCACGTGCTTCGTTTGTGGAATAGAACCTATAACAGGTAATGTATTATATGTGCAACAGCCTATTTAATCTTTATCAGAGATCAGGTCAGATGTATTGTTTAAATTATTCATTATCAGATTATATTCGTTGTAGTAAGTGTCTGTACATTCCTTTATATGGTTCTTAAATGAGGCACCCAGTTCTCGAATATTCCTTACTTAGTCACGTAATGGCTAATGCGCATTATGTTCAAGAAGTAGAATAAGAACGCGGATATACCGGCATGACATGATGTCCTGGTGTTCAAATTGACCTTCATCATCACATGATGGTATTGATTTTTGTTTGTTTGCGAATCATACGCGTCTCAGTCTTCATACGACGTATGGTTGTTTGGTTAGTAACTAAAGTTAAAGTACTTAAGTTGTGTTTAACTTAAAAAAAAAAAAACCATTCATTACATTGATAACTGTTATTTTTGTGTGCTATTGGTTACAGTTGAGTTGTAATAGTAATACATTACAAATCATATTAATATTACAGATTTTATTACGCAGGCCAGTTGTAATTTACAAAGAAGTAGATTGTGATTGGGGCCTCACCACATATTCCCAAAAGATAGAATAAAAGTAAGTACTTACCTTCACTGTGAAGACGGCACACACACTCACACCGATTTAAAAAAAAATATAAAACTTTACTAACTACCTAGTCACTAGACTATAGTTGGTTATATTGAAAACGTATTATACCCTACCCCAGGCCGCTGAGGAAAACAAATTGCTTGGACATAAAACAGAAGACTTAGGGCTGTCTTACGAATAACAGTCCCAAATTATCGAGGCCGAAAATATACTCCAACAGGACCTCAGTCGCGTGACTGAGGCCATGTTAGGGTATTTCTGGCCTCTATAATTTGAGACCCTTATTCGGAAAATAAGGATTAAATATACCACAAAAGCGAACACACAGGAAAGTTGTATACATAATACTCATTAAGAAAAGACATAGTTAAGTCGAGAATTGACATCACATCATTTGTGGCATTCCCATGTATGCTTCGTCCTCATCTTTAGCAGCCAGCACAGAGTTTCAATACTGATGGTACCGGTCACAATCTGGTTATATATCCGTCTTGTCTTTCTTCTGAGTATAGAGTCGGCCAAGCCAAACCTCTGGTTACACTCAGGTGCCTCATTCTCTTCAGGCCGTAATTAATAATCTTGTTTCTCTACCGATTCCGTTACTTGTTTCCAAAGGGCCTTGACAACATCTGCCCTCTTATGCATCAGTTTACCACTCAGTGGTGCTGATCCAGCCAATATGTCTGCCTGTTTATTACCCACCACGCCGGCATGACCAGGAGAAAAGATCCAAAGTATGCTCACTATCCGTGATCTTTCCAGTGAAGCTTGCCACTCTGCTCGAAGCATCCCTGTCTTCACTTTTCTCAGCATACTTTCTGAGTCTGTTACAATTACAGCATGTGAATGTAGTAATAGATGACAGAATCATCCAGTAATTTAACTCTTTTGTTACCAAAACAGCTTGTGCCCTACCTCCATTTTGCACACAAAAATTATGATCAAAACGATAAATAGCCTTATATGTATGACTTCAGCAGAGACTTTATAAAGCAGACACTTTAATTATTATGTCAGATACAAAAAGTTATAACATTAGTCTGTGGTACACAACAAAAAGAACGTTAATTTTTTAAGTGAGCAAAAAAATTTGGACTGATTTGTTCAGTGCTGAGTTAATTTGTTCTTTAATGTGTTTACCAGCTTTAAACTATTTCGGACAATTCTGGTTGTTCATCTACTTCTCTACTTGTCTTGTTTTAGAATTTGAGTTTTGCATGCACACCCGTTTTACAGATCTAGCTTATTTGTGTGCCAGACTGCTGGTTTCTTGCTCATCATGCAGATGCACCCCGACTTCAGATCGAACTCCTGATTGATGGACTAATGGTTTAGAAGGCACTGGGATTATTCTCTTTTGTTTGCACAGTGGGACCATGGAACCCACACGGGAAATAGTTAATTTTGTTATATGACAGTGGCAGGCTAGTGTTTACTTTATACCCTCTTAAGAGCAAAGTTTGTCACTTCTGACACTGCTGACTGATGGGCCAGTCTGTAAAAGAATAAAACGAAATATACTATCTTCAGCGTAAACAATACCACATGGCTATTTCTTTGGTATCCAAAGAATTAATAATTTCAGGTCAAGAAAATAATTTAATTTATTTTTTCCCCAGATACATTCTCTATCAGCAGCAAGCTGACAAATTAGAACTGAAATCCCAGTATGACATCACAGAAGAGGTACAGGCAACATCAAGAAAATAACAAAAACTCGTCCAGATTTAGAGATCTTCCACCTCGATTCAAGCGTCAGAAATCTACCGGTTCACCGACAGCACCTCCATCAGCATCTCCGACTGTGACACCAGTAGCAGCAGAGACCCAATTGGGCGTTGAAATTAATCACACTTCAGTCGTGAACGATACAGTCTCCCCACAGCCAGTAGTACTATCACAAATGGCACCAAGTATTGTCAATGTCTCTTCTCCCGAAGAAAGTCTCAGAAATCAGGCCAGACCAGGAACAGATCGTTTTCAAGTTCCTGTCTCGTCTGTGTCTTCATGGCAGTGGCCAGCTAATTCTGAATCGTACGTCTTGTCACAGTGGGATCAAAGACAGTTCAACAGGGCCACTAATGTCCAGCCACCACCCGTGGCACTTGGGACACACTTTGGTTATAAAATGGACAGTCCTCCATTATCCCCTTGGGCTTCTAGAAACGCATCTAATTTTCCTGGACAATTTGGCGTGGGAAGTCCAGCGTGGGTGTCCCCTACTGGTGACCTTTGTACAGGTCAGGGAGTCCGCAGTCCACCAATGTATTTTAATAATGAAAACTGGGCACCTAACCAGAACTTGATGTATCCTCATAGCCCAGGTGGTGTGTGGGGTAAACCGCCAACACCCCAGCATTTATATACCTCTCCTTCGGTTGCCTTGCAGGATCGTGCACCGGTTTCTTCTCTGTATATGGAAAACCATAACATTGGTGATAGAAGCAGCGAGAGATCAATTGACTACTCAGATCCTGATATTAGAACTATTGAAATGCTTCGTGAGCTAGAGAGAGTGGCAGATGAGAAAGAAAGTGAAGACTTTGGAGTCGACAGAAAGTCTCTTGTGTCACACCATCTTCGTATGCTGATGTGTGCTGTAGATAAGTACACAGAAGGGGTTGAAGATGGCGCCTCTAGACAAGATGAGGTATCCCTGGCAACAAACAGTAGAGAATCCAGTCCTCACGTTTCACCACATCCCCCTGAAGCCAGGATCAGGGTAAACATGCAAGAAGCCGAACCAGAGTCCAGGATGTCTTTTTGGTCTTCAGGCAATGAAAAATCTTCATGGAAACATCCACAGACCGAACAAGCATCTTTAGCAGCAAGTCAGCAGATGGCTCGAACCCAGGCTTATCAACACACTCCTGTAAATGAGCAACCAAACAACATTGAAGGTCAAAACATCGCATGGGACTTATGGTCAAGCCCATCTTTTGACTTCTCTGGATTGTTAAATCAAGACTTGGATGATCTTACCCGTAACCCATTCAGCAGGTCGAAGGAAAGTGACGAGAAACGGAAACCCCTTTACCAGCGATAATTGTATTGCTTGAGTTATCACTTGGTTAATAAATATATTTCTAAAAAGGACTAGAAACCATATGTGTATGTATATACATGACTTTGTGTATATTATGTAGATTTTTTCATTGACACTTCTTCAAGAATTCAGGTGTGTACATCTTGCAGTCATTTTTTAACAACACTGATATGCATTATCATGATGTGGTTAAGCTTCAAACATTATTGGTGCTTTTTATCTAGACAAATATCGTGTAAAATACAACGTTTTGATTTGTTAAATTTTAATTCCAACCAAAGACTGCAAAACAGCAGCTGTGTGCTGCATAACAGCTGTGTTCAGGATAAATTCTGCTGTTTATAAATGTGTAAATTAACTTGCCAGGAAGTGCTATAAAGCATCATCTTTCATTGAACTGATCGGCAGATTAAGATATTTATTTCCTCAGTTGCAGATTTTCTGTACAATTCGTAAATTTGCTGACCGTTCCGTTGTGATATCTGGTAATTTATTTCATCTGTATCTGAACCAAGAATTGCACGTCATTGATATTATGCAAGTCATGTCACATACAACATATTGTTCCGCCTTCTTTGTTTCATATGAAACCACTGTTAATTTGTAAAATAAATAAAGTGTAAATGTGACGACGACATGACATTGTCACCATTTATCGGCTCTTATGTAATTTATAACTTTATGAGGGGCATCATAATAAAAATTATGTGTGTGTATATAGTCCTTTTTTTAAAAATTATAAATGTATAGACAAAACACAGATGTAATTGGTTGGTGAGCATCGTCCCTCATTTATGCAGATAGTCCACTTGTAAAAGATTTGGGTTGCCTATGTCCGTATGATAAAGAAAATTTAATGCTGGAAGCTTCATCAAGGGCTGTGGCAATGTTGTCACGGGGAAGAATTTGATTGGTTGACTGATTCATCATCATGTGCCACATCCATCACAAGATTAGATTTACCATGATTTACTATCTCACAAAATCTCCGTAGCCTCTAATTCTGTGCTGTCTCGAGTATGACCCTACAACTTTTGTCCTTTGTCACCCTCTAGCATTTTCCTATAGTTTGCCAGTTGTAGCTAAGATTTCAAATGTTTCTTCTGTCATCCCACAAAAGCTGAACTAGTTAAGGATTTCTATCTGAATGGATTTGTCTCTTTATCACAGGCTTTCCTCATTTGCAGCGCACTGTTTTTCTCTCGTTATATTTGTTAGGTTTTTATCTGCTTGTTACCCTCATTTATTTTCCTCTTTAATGATTTTTATCTGCCAGTTAGACTGTCCCACCTGCTTTCTCTCCATCTATGGAATTCTGAGCATGTTCCTGGCAAACCATGTTTGCTGCAAAAATAAAGTTGTCTCAGATTGTTTATCATCCATGGTTTGTAAACTCAAAGAGCACTAAGTTTTTTTCCACTGCAAAACATTTGACATCGCCATAGGATTGCATGGAAGTCCTACAATGTTTCATTCAAACTATTTATTGATTTGGTTTTCTGTTCTAGATTTGATTCAGAAATAATTCTTGCCTCACTTGAAGTTACTTACGCATCAGCATTTAGATCTGTTAAAAAAAAAGGATACTAGATGGTCTTCGTGTCAGTGCCTGAACTCTGAAACACTGGTGAGGTTCTCGGTCAGTGTTCATGTGTAAAAATCTCAAGATGTATAAATTTAATGTTAGTATTAATTTTTATAAATTTTTAAATGTAGCCTAGTTAGAAAATTATTATAATTCTAAAGTCCAAGTAGAAACAGACTGGGAGATTTGAGCTTCAGATGGCACCCCCCCCCCCCCCCCCACCCCCCCAAAAAAAAGCAGTGTGTCTTGGAAGCTGGAAAACTCCAATGTTGGTCAGTTATTTGGTGAGAATGGCGATGCAAGAAAAGGTTGGGGTTGGTTAGTGCGAAGGTGGACACAGAACATCAGGGACACCTGTTATCGACATAAATGAGGATGGGCCACTGGCAGAGAGTGAAATCTTTTCTTGCTGGTCATTGTGAGTGCAGTTCTACATACATTCTGTTACATGATGATGTTGAATCTGTGTGTAGATCTGTCTATCTGAACTCATTTACCATCTGTAAACTACGAAAGATTTTAAACTTGTGCAGCACATACAAGGGACGTACATTTGTCATGTCTTTGAAAGGGGTGTAAAAACATTTATGTCATGTCTTTGAAAGGGGTGTCAATACATTTATGTCATGTCTTTGAAAGGGGTGTAAAAATATTTATGTCATGTCTTTAAAAGGGGTGGATAGTGTAAATGTTGTTTGAGCCAGAAATGAAGTCAAGGGACTGAAAAATCTAGACAACTTTGTACTGTAGATGGTTCCCACATATCTCTGTTGACACACTAGTTTCAATGTAGAACCGTCATTGTACTGTATTATATGCATATTATTTGGGTAATATGGTATCAGAACTAGCCGTTATGTTACATGTGTTGTGACTGTTTCCTTGTTTATTATAACCACTCATGTAAAACAGTACAACCCCCTCCCTCCCCCCCCCCCCACCAAAAAAAAACCCACTAATTATACTCTAATTAGACTTGCTATTGTTTGTCTGGTGTTTGACTTTGGTGAGAATCGTTATGTGAGAAGAGGTTTGTTCTGTAATTAGAACGATCAGTAGCATGTAATCTGTTTATTGCTATCTGGTTGATCTGTTATAAGAACTACCATTATGTTACACTTGTATGTTATCACTGATTGGTTTGCTGTCTTTTTAGAACTACCAGTATTTAACAGGAACTATTTTCTGCCTGATTTAACTGTAACTGACTGAACGATGATACAGGTTTTTATGTTTGAAGTGGCCTTGTCCTTCTGTTGCAGAATATCATCTCCTTTAAAATGAAGTTAAGTCATGATCTGTACCAAGGAAATTGAAATACAGGGCAACGCCCCCCTCTTCCCTTTCCAATATACTGTATATGATTATATATAGTTTTGTAATTATGATATAAATTGTATTTACTTAGACATCAGAACAATTTTGTAAAAAATATGTTCATATTTTCAGAAAAGTTCACTGGGGTTCATGGTTCTTATTGTCAGAGGAAACACTGAAGAGTTCTTGTTGCGGTTCTCTAACTTAGAAGTTGGTGATTGTGCTGGGATGTTAGAGTACGGAGGGTTTTATGTCCCCAGTGTGCAGCTTTTTTGTGTGTATACTTTGTGGGCAGTGGGTGTGAGATCAAGACCTGACTGCATAATATTCCCAGATGGGCATACCCAGCTGTTGTCATGGAGATAGCACATGCTTTTTTTTTTCTTGTCTGGCCCCATCTCGTGTTTCAGTTAAAAAAAAACAGGAAACAAACCTTCACCTTGATTGCTGGGTGCAGTAACCATTGCAGTTGCTGCTGTCCTGTTGCCATCTCACATTTTACTCTCCTGCTGTTGAGTATTAATTTGCTGACACTGCCATATACAGTAAAGATTACACAGCACCCTGGAACAGCTTCAGAAGGTCCTGCACCTTTTTGCGCTGTGCTGTCTTGACTCTCTGGAACAGCTTCAGAAGGTCCTGCACCGTTTTGCACTGTGCTTGACTCTCTGGAACAGCTTCAGAAGGTCCTGCAGTTTTGCACTGTGCTTAGGGGATGCAATCCCCTGACAAGAGTAGACATTCATGGCATTGAGATCAACTATAACTGTAGAGAAGTGAACTAAAGCATAAAGACAACTGGGGTAGAAACAAACTTACTATTGAACATTAAAACATGTTGGGTTGGTCACAATATTGAACAGTTTGTTACCAGACATTTTGTATTTACACAGCACCGCCTTATTAACCAATTTTTACAGGATTGAGGTGCAGAGGAAGCGTGAGCCCAGGGATTTAGGGCAGCATTGGCTAGTGGGCTCTACGGAATCAGGTATTTTTGCCACCGACAGAAAATCTATCGTCGAGCCTGGGTCTTGTTTGACATGGCTGCTGCTGAGGCATAAAGCATTTGGATATAAAAATTAATTGTTCATCTATTGCAATTATGAAATAAAAAGGTTGCATTAGTCTCAGAGATTCCTCATTGTTCATTTCCACATAATTTTTCAGTTAAAGTTTGTAAAAAGCAGTTTAGTATACCATAAATTGTGGCCTACAAGTCATACTGAAGTTCAAGTCTGCACCATGATTTGTAGCCCAGAATTCCTGGTTAAACCTAGGCCTAACTAATAAATTTTATTTCATTGTAAATAAATCCCAAGCTTTGTGAAGATTTTTTTTGAGGCTTGAAAATTCAACTTGAGCGCGGAAATTTACGGTATATAATTTACAAGCAACAGTTGCAGCCTCATGGTTGGGGGAAATGTATGGTTAATTTGTAATTTATCACTTCGCCTTGCTAACTGTTGATGACAAAATTCCTGGCAGCCAATTTAAGAACATGTTGTATATAAATGGCTCATGAAATAATTGTAAATTTGCCCTTTTGATGTTTACTATTTGTCCTTATGTTTTCTTCCTGTAATGTCACATAGTCCTCTCTTTTGCCACCTTCCAGCAAATCTCCATGTTCTTTCAATTTTTTTTTTGTATTTGTTTTTTTTTTTAAAATTCGCTAAAAGGGTGCCGTTGCCACAAAAAAGATTGCCCATGTTAAATCCTGCAGTAAGCTATGCTTATTTTCTCTGAATATTGTTCGTCTGTCTCTTGTTTTTTCCTACTTTTGTCACCGTTTGCCTGTTGCTGTCTTGTTTCTACTTTTCCTTCCAATATTTTTTTTCAAAGGAGTGTTTTTAATGTGGCCAAAATATTTCACTTTAAAAAAATTTTCTTTGATAGCTCTGGTCTTTTCTAAATATCTTATTTCATTGTGTGTTTTTTTTTTTTAAACTCCCCACTATTACTTCCCAGAGAAAGACATTCCAGACGTCCTGTAGTCAGACTTGTTTAGTTGGTGTCCTCAACCTTTCTCCTGTCCTCATTTTTGATTTGCTGGAATATTGTTGTCTTCTCAAGCTCTTCACTTGTGAAGGGCATG